CCTTGTGATCTATCAAGCATGTCCTGCAAATCATTGCATCACAATCTTCACAGAAAGTCTCTAGCTTGTGATGAGGGTGACTTGTACAAGGATTTTCTCTTGTTATTAGGAACTGAATATCTTCTTTCTTCAAATCAGCCAAACGAACGACCTTGTGATCTTTAATGAAGAACGAATGGCTCTTCTCGCATTCTTGACACAGTGAATGATCACAATCAAAACAATACCAAGAAGCTGACGAATGACTCTCAGAAGCAGAACAAGCCTTATCTCCTTCTACCAACGCCAGACCCTTCAAGATTCTTGAATGTATTAGACTTGGCTGTAGATCTTCAACGCTGCTTAGTTCTGGTAGAGAAGTCTGTGATTTGCATCGAGGACAATTGAAGATGTTGATTTGGTGGACTTGCTCGGCGTGTCGTTTGACGCAAGGCTTACAAAATGTGTGGAAACAAGACAAGATCTTTGGTTCAGTGAAAATATCATTACACAGGGAACATCGGAGTTCCTTCTTAAGATCTTCAACAAACGATTCCATGTCTTCAGGAGTTGAGACGAGACGAGTTGAGGGAGTTGTCTGAATAATGTTGTTTGTCAGTCTTTGGTCAGGTGATTCTTGGAAATGAGCGTGACCTTACTACCTTGAAATGTTGTCACGCTATGAATGCATAATTTAGAAGAGCATATTTTATCGCTTTCTAATAGTTGAGTTATTGAGCTATTCCTTGAAAGGAGCGTGACCCTAAGCTGATGTTACCCGGGACGATTCGCAACGACGATTTTTCGCAATACGACTTGTTTGAATAAAAAAGATGGGAGAATACATGAATAAATGAGATGGGAGAATGTATGGATAAATGAGATGGGAGAATGCATGGATAAATGAGATGGGAAAATGAATAAATAAATGAGATGGGAGAATGCATGAATAAATGAGATGAGAGAATGCATAAATAAATGAGATGGGAGAATGCATGAATAAATGAGATGGGAGAATGCATAAATAAATGAGATGGGAGAATGCATGAATAAATGAGATGCGAGAATGCATGAATACATGAGATGGGAGAATGCATGAGTAAATGAGATGGAAGAATGCATGAATAAATGAGACGGGAGAATGCATGAATAAATAAATTACTATAACACTATACCTTAGTGAATGATAAGTCATCTCTATACATTTTGTAATGTTCACCGTCCTCGCTGCACCCAACAGTGAACTTCTTGACCCACTCCTTCTCATCGTATCCAGTCGTGCTTGAGTCAAGATTTCAGGCACCAGCTTCCTCGCACCAAGATCAACTTGAATCCACTGATGTCCATCGTTTGTCTTGGCAGACCACCCCCCTGCGTCTCGTCCATGTCTTACATTGTAGAGTCGAGCAAGTTGGGGTCTGTGATGAACACTGAGTTGATTCGATGTTTTGAAGGCGGTATCCGGTATCAATCCACCTTCGATTTCAATTTCTTAAATGAAAGTTTTGATAATGCAGTCTTACATTGTAGAGTCGAGCAAGTTGGGGTCTGTGATGAACACTGAGTTGATTCGATGTTTTGAAGGCGGTATCTGGTATCAATCCACCTTCGATTTCAATTTCTTAAATGAAAGTTTTGATAATGCAGCAATCAAGGCGTTTCCATAGAAAACCATTGCATATAGGCACATGCCCTCGTAAACATTGCATAGCCACGTGGCCTTGAAAATATTCCATAGGCACGTGCCCTTAAGGTGGCTGACTACTTCTGAACGTTCGATGTGAGCCCACGATGTGCGTGCGCTCAACAACCGCTGAATAATCTTCACAATTTTATTGAAGAACCATACACGTTTTGAACTTTAATTTTGCACCGGACTCTGTAATCTTGTCTTTGTTATTTTCCGGAATAACAGGTAATATTTACAGGGTTCCCAGCCATTTTGAAAATAAAAATTCCCTGACTTTTTCCTGACTAAGTAACAGTTTTCACTGACCTTGTTGGGCCGCATGCGCATGGTCGAGCAAGGGCCACATGCATAACTTTTACCTAGGCCTCGCTCTTATCCTATTACACAGGATACCCAACATCATTAAACTGTCCGGCATAAATGATACTAAATACTTCAATATTTTTTTCATTATTTGAAAGGATTTATCAGTCTATACGAAAATTGCAAACAGTATAAGTATCACACGGATACTCATGGTTAACTTTAAACAAAATTACCTGACTTTTCCCTGACTTTAATTTCCCTAACCCCTGGTAACCCTGATT